TATCAAGCCTTTTTTGGATTAATTAATGCCAGAAAATATTAAAACTTTGGATTCTCTGTATCTGATGGATGTATTCAAGCCCGCCTCATAGCTGAGATGGATGTGCATTTCCAGTCCTCTGCAGTGGTCTGTGTTCGGAACCCAAGTAAAGTTAAAATTTAGGGAGCTGATATTTAAGGTAGGCTCATTCCAAGGTTGCTGTGACATTACCACCTGGTATCTGAATAATTGTGTATGCTGTTGGTACTCATTCGAAATCAAGTAAAAGCCAGTATGACAAATTTTCAAGTGCTCTTCAGATGCATGGCAGTTATCAGTGCAGAGAATGAAGTCAGCAAGACTAGTTCAAATTCTGGTTTTAGTCTGTTGCTTTCATTTTCGCACTAATGCAAAAGCATGAATCCATCTTATTTATCTCCACTCAGATATGGGTTAAATAGCAGGGTAGAGGGGATTTCTAGCCTTGGGTGGCAGTCAGTCTAGGAAATGGACTGGACTGAATTGAAAATATCCCAGGAAGTCATGGCAATTCACCAATGATAAAGAAAAATATTTTGTGGAGAGTGATGATCACCTACGTTGTGAAGGGTTATGGCATTAAAAAAACTTTCCCTCAAAAAAACATTAAAATATCACTTCGTAAATTTGGATGCATAGTAATTGTTGTGAGTTCAATCCCTGGGCCAGGTAGTATAGCTCAGTAGAAACATGACTAGTATAGGCTACTACATTTGGCTTCACCAAATGAGCTTCTTAGTCTGTACTATTTAAGTCTATAAAAAGGCAAACATATTCTCCTTTTTCTTCCAGATGCAGTCAAACGTAGATAAAGAACACTGCTGCCGGGGAGCATATACACACACACACACACGCGCGCACACATATGCATTACACACGCTTGTTTCACACGCGCACACATATACACACGTGTATTACACATGCTGGTTTCACACAAAGCACATTCTCACAGCTAGTTTTAATGTCTTTTCCTATAATTTCCATTGTGTACATGTGTAATTTGTTTTGTTAGTAACATGCATTAACTGCTTTTTAAAAAAAAAAACGCCTTGTTTTGTCCATCTTATTTTTACCCAGCCTCACACGAGTCTGCCAATATTGTTTGTGGGACAAATGTTGAAGGATCCCATAAATATTTACTATAAAATTTACACATCTAGTATCAAAAGTCATCTGAGAGAACCCTTTTTACCTTCCAGGAGAGTGACTCATTGCACCTTTTTCAGCTGACATAAAGTGGAAAGAGTATATTGAATCAATTGCTAAGTCTGCAGCTAAGAAAGTTGGTCCATTATGTCATACTAGACAATTTTTCTCACAATAATATATCTTGTATATTTATAAGTCTACCATTTGTCCTTGCTTTGAATATTGCTGCCACATCTGGTCTGGTACTCCTGCTATATATTTAGAGACGCTTGATAACATCCAAAGAAGAATCTGCAATGTTATCAGTCCTGACCTGGCATCTCAATTTCAGTCACTTTCCCACTGTCATACTGTAACTTCCCTGTGCCTTTTTTTATAAATACATTCTTGGTAATTGTTCTGATAAACTTTCCTCCATTTTACAGTTGGAATTGCTAGATGAAACTGTAAATTCTATGCTGTTTCTTCCATCACACTTCTCGTTTGTGGAACTCTCTTCCAGTTTTTTGCTTCCCAGTCAACATCTTCAAAAATTCAAATGCAATGTCAATTGTTACCTTTTACCTTCTTAATTCTTGTTCTTTTATTGTTCTCTCTCTTGAACCAGATTAAAAAAAATTAAATTAAATTAAATTAAAACAAAAAACACAATATCTTGTAGAGGACCGTGTCGGCGATGTTGAGTTGAAGTAGAAGAACATGCATGAGTTAAGATTTCCTGCTAGCCGGTCCAACTACGTGAGAAAGTTGGACTTTAATTAAGTCCAAAGAAGGCAAAGAAAAACAAACACAAGATCGATAAATATATGTAAACAAATATATGCATTAACAACAAGAAAGGTTACAAGTTACATGGACAGTTACATGGACAGAGTGTGTGTGGTGAATATTATGTGCGTGTGTTGTGTTGTGGTGAGTGTTCGTACGTACACGTATTGTTCTTAGCGTGTTCCCAGCATTAAGGAAACACTGTATCTGTGAGCATTCACATCTGCGAGGTGGTAAGGCTGAAAGCCTGGGGCAAAAAGAGATTTACATCAAGGCAGCGGCCCAAAGGCCATGAGGGAAAAAGAGGAAGTGGTCAGCGAGTATTTATAGCCAGGGAAGAGAGACCCCTGGTGAAAAAGTTAAGGAGCTAAGGAGGAGCTAACTCCGACAATCTCTAGACATGAACAGTAGAATGCGAACAATCTACCCTGGGGGATTAGAGGGTTCAGATCAAAATTCTCAGATGGTTACCTGGATTGACAGATACCTGAAGAAGGTAAAACACCTGAAAATTTGTGATAACAACAAAAATCAGGAGAATAGTATAAATGTAAATAATGCTAACTCCTCATCCTCAAAATTCAAACAGAAACCACTACACTACATGCACCCACAAAACTCAGCCTCAGTAGTAGAACCACCTTTTAATTGCTGTTGATCCCAGGGTCACCCTGACCCAAGGTGGTAGCACCTGTTAGGATCCCAGCTATGAGCAAATAATGAATGCAAAACAAAACACTATGAAAGTATAAAAATACATATTCATAATAAAATTATTGGCAATACATTTTTATATAAAAAAAATTATCAAACTACATATAGCAAAATTACGAACAATAGATTTTTATAGTAAAATGATCAGCAATGAAATTTTATTGTAGAATTACCAACAATACATTTTATCTGGAGTTAAAGGCATATAATTACGTTCAAAATATAATTAGTTGAAGCCAGAAAATTTTGGTCAAAATATTTAGATTTCAGCATTAAATAATCCATAGAGGTTGATATACCGCCAAACAAAATCAACCAAATAAACCAACATGAAAGAACTCTTTCATGACATTAAGCAATATAATGTCACTTCAAGAAAACTACAACATAAAACACACACATCACCACCTCTAGTAATTATGTCCACACAAACATGTATATGGACAAAAACTGAGTATCATCTACCATGTATTCAATTGTGAAAGCAGAATAACATGTATCATATTTTTATTACTTCAAAGCTCCCAAGAAAATAACATCTTGGCGTTAAATGACCTATAAGGAGTTGATATGCCGTTAAACAAACAAATCAAGTCAAATCTGAGAAGCTGAGTATCATCTACCATGTATTCAATTGTGTAAGTAGAATAACATATATAATATTTTTATTATTTCAAATCTCTCAAGAAAATTAAATTTCAGCATTAAATGACCCATAAGGAGTTGATATGCTGTTAAACAATCAAATAAATCAAATATTTTTTGAAAAGAAAGATTATTGGTAGTAAATCTATTGTTTCATTGTTGCAGTAAGATTATTGTAATAATTAAAATAAATAGAAAGAAATAACATTTTCAATAATATAATATAATTATTATTATATAGTATTATATTATTATAATACTTATAATATTATAATTATTATTATTATTATATTGTATTATAATACTTATAATGTTATACTTGATATTATTCAAACTAAACACAACTGATTATTAATGGATGAAAATTTTTTGTGGATTTTGATGTCATTCTGGGAGCTTTTTTTCTTTTTTGTCCAAATCTATGAATTTGTTTTGCTCATGCTAAGTTTTTAAAAAAAAAAAAAAAACATAAAATTCATTATTTTTATCCATAATGTTGAATGTGTTAAATTATTCAACTTTTTAATAAGAAAAATCTCAAGTTGATGTTAAAATTACCGCAAAACATTGTTGAATTTTTTTAAGTTAGAATGATTTATTATGACATGTTTCTAACTTAGATACTTTGCATTTATTTTCAATTTTTCTAGCTGAATTGTTCACCTATTTTGCATATGATCCATTATTGTACATAATTATATTACAAGTGGGCACCTCAGTGTGGTGTAATAGTTAGCAAGATTGTCTTGCTAGAACAATTACAACTAAGCAGTGAGTTTGATCCTCACCGGGTGCCCCATACTTTCAGCTTTGTGCCACATCTAAGCTACAATTAGAAAATCAACATAATTAGGTTACAATAAAATTTGTATTTTATATGAATACTACCTTATAAAAATTGAAATGTAGTAGAGTGGAGGGCCCCGTATCATAAATTCAGTGGTCAGGAGGCACAAGACCCTTGCGCTGACCCTGTATGGTATTGTATAGTTTTTATTCGTGTTGGTATTAAAGATACTGTTATTATATACTGGAAAATATGGTAATCATTCTGATACTTTTTGTTTATTGCTTGTCGGTTTCCCCAGCTGCTGAGTTAAGCCCAGTTTGCACGTGATAAGCAGACAGCTGTTGCTGTTGACTATGGGTGGATGAAGTCACAGTTGGCCCCCCTGGCAACAAAGAAAAGACATAAGGTGCTTTGTTGTGGATAGAGACAATTACAAATATGCCAGAGTTGAGTATATCGAGGAAAGGCAACATATTGTTTGCTTCTGTACCATAAATAAAATCTATTGTACGTTCAATGTTGTTTAGCTTATATACAAATCAGGTAGTTTTTCGTAGGGGTATGTTAATAAATCATTATCAATATATTGGAAATATGTTGTTTAAGTAAAATATTTTAGAAAGGATCAGATTCAAGAAATCTTAATAAAGACAAGCTAAAGGTGATCCTATCAGTAATCCAAATTCTCGCTTATAAAAACCATTGTTAATATTAGTAGAAGAGATTTAAATTGTCATGTTTGGGGAATCTGTAGCATAAAGTGGCAGCCCTTGGGTAGAAGTTGTCTCTATGGAATATCCTTTGTTTCTAGAAGCCAGCAATTTTGTTTTAAAATCTATCAATGGCCACTAGAAGAAAAAATATTTGTCTTCATAGTTTAAATTGACAGTACCAAAACTTTTTAGTACAAGGATTTATGGCCACATCACATTGAAACATTGGTTCCCATATGATCACCGAAGTTAAGCAATGTCAAGCCTAGCCAGTATCTAGATGGGTGACCATTTAGAAATACCAGGTGTTGTAAGCTTGGATAAGTCTAGCTTAATGAATAATATCTTGCAATTGTTCATCAGAGAGCTGAGTTCCAATTCCAGTTGATTTCGTTATATTTAGTTATGCACAAATACCTCTAGGAAAAGTATGAGTCCACCATGTCTCCCAATTAGTAAGGCTTGTATCACTAAATGATTATCACCAAAAAAATTTCTTACAATTTAAAAAAATATTTTCTGGCTTTAAATAATCTGCAAAGGGTTGATAAACCATAAAAAACAAATCAGTCAATCAAAACATTTTTAGTATGTGGGCCATATCAAATATTATGTTTTTATGGTCAAAAGAAAAAGTCAGCTTTATAAATGAATAAATAAAATATCAATATGTAAACATACAATGAAGAGCCCTCACTCAGCTTTTCACTGATCAGACATATAAGCCCTATGTTGTGTTTTCATTCCTGTTTGCATTGTTGTGCACAGAAACTAGGAAATGTCCACCATGCTTTCACAGGGGAAATGAAAAGGTAAAATTAATACCACAGTTACAAATAAGGAGTCAAATCCTGTTTCCAGAATGTTTGTTTGTTTGTTCAGGGATCCATTGCACAGTCTGTGGTGTATGTGACACTGGAGACATCCACTACTTCTATCAAGTCAGATTGTGAATCAGCTTTTTCCCTTCTTCCACCCCTCTACAACATGACATGCAGCTTTGGTGCTCTCTCTCGACAGACAGTCCGTATGCACCAAATGATTGCCTGAAAGTAGCCCCACTTCTAACTGTGACTGTCTTTATAAGTTTTAATGTCCCGTCAAGTGCCACTTGTTCCCAGAAGTTTTTGTTTATTTCTTTTTTGGTCAAGTGGATGCCTGCATTGAAGAAACTGTCTCTCAGACATTACTGCTGGTCATAAAACACACTTCAGATGTTGATAAGATCTTTTAGGGTACCACTTGACTTTTGTTCTAAATCAATTGTATGGGAGACCACTGGGACACTCAGAGAGATAAGGTATAATTTTATCTTGATCTCAAATGTTTCATATTTTATGGCCAGCGGATAAAGTCTTTGTAGTTGGATTTTCTAATTGGCACCCAATTGACCACGAAGGAATAAATAAATGAATTAAACCTTTTGGAATCAAGTGACACCAAACTGGACATTGATGATTTCTAAGTGCTGGTCTATATTAACAATCACAGTTGGAATTAAGGATGTTAGTTCTGATCTACCCTTGACAGGAGACAGACCGTCCCTCGAGTGCCGTATTTACTTGTGTATAAACCTACTTTATGTATTGTGTGACCCCTGAATTTGTTTTTGTGAAAAACCTGAATTTTTTCATATAGCTTGTGTATAATGTAAGTTCAGCTTCTGAGTAATACTAGTCCTACCATAGTTAAAATATTGCAGTACTGAACATCGTCCTGGACATATAGCAAATAAATGGTTATGGTTAGCCAAAGGTACCATCTGAATTTAGGTCTACCAGGTAGGTTATGGTCACCAAAAGAGCATGAATTTTAACCCCTCCAAAAAAGATTTACCTCTGTGTAATTGGTCACTGAAAATGTATGATTTTTAATCTCTTCAAAAAAAAAATTACTTTATTTTTATTAAATAAGTATTTGTTAAATTGTTTTTAAAATAGTGCGACCCCCTATTTTTGGCATAAAAAACTGATCAGAAAAATTTGCATTATACTCGAGTATTTGCAGTAGTTCTAATGCCACCTGTTTGTGTTAGTAGACAGAAGAGATGAAGGAGAGAGCTGATCAGTTAGTGGGAAGTTGTCCCAAGCATCATCTACCTATCCACCCAGACCAAACAAGGAAACCCAGAATAAAAGACTTAAATGTATTTAAAACAGGGTCCAAGTTTTCATTTCTCTGTTATGGTGGAACACACCTATTCTATAGTTAATAGACTCTCCCACCTATAATAAGTAGGAGTAGTAAGAGTAATGAGTCGGTGAGTGAGTCAGTCAGTCGATGTTGGACGACAGTTAGTCGAATATGAAAGTATCAGCGACCACAACTAGATTACTCTGCGTTGTACCTATTATATCAAGTTCCTAATGTTTTGTACGTTGAACCTATTTTAGGACCGACTTAGTACAAATAGAAGCCTCCACTGTGAAATAACTCCACAACATTCTCACCATGGCATTTGTTTTCATTTTTTTTTTGGTTTTCTTTGTGAGCATGCAATGGGCCTTTCCTGATTTTCGGTGCACACCAACACGAACGAGAACGGTGACGTCAGGTAATGAATGAACATGTTTTATTTGTATCTTTTTGGATAATTGGCATTCTAAACAAAAAAGAAATTTGATGAATGCAAGGTAGAAAATCTTGCTCTCATGACCTGAGAAACAAGTTTGCCTACCATTATACTCAGTGGTGGCATCCCATATTTCCAGGAACTGGTTCTATAAAGGCAGGTAATATTTAGGAACCTATTCTGCTTATTTTCTTTTCAATCTGAGAATGGAAAAAAATCACTTTATAGTATCAAAAAGAATTAAACCATTTTGATAATTTAATAAAAAAAATTTATTTATTAAGATTTTGCAACATACAGATGCATGTTGAAATTTTCACAATATTTAGTATTGTTGAAGTTATCACTAACATTTTTTATTGAGAATGGGAAACTTGATGTTTCATTCAATTTCACAAACCAATCAATGAAATTTGAATAAGCTGATTTGTTTGGAAAAATACTTTGACAAAAACCCTACTTCAGTTTAATAATTTCTTTAATTTAATTTAATTTTGTAGGACTTCATGGTAAACAATATTTTTTAAGAAAGTTTCATTTCTTTTTTAACAGCAAAGAATAAATTCTTAGGATTTTTTACTCTTGAGCTTGCAACATACAACTGGCCATGCATAAATATTTCTTTCTGCAGTAAATTCCAATTTTTGAAGTCTTTGGCCTTGTGATTTGTTTATAGTTCTCACAAACACAGGATGAACTGGAAACTGGATTCTTGTATATAAAAACTTAAAAAAAATATATGCAAAAAAACAATATTGCATTTTTATTAAATAAGTATTTGTTAAATTGTTTTTAAAATAGTGGGAGTATTTTTTATGTTAAAATTTTAATTTTTCAAAAGAAAGGAATGAAAATTTATTTCACTAAGCTACCCACCCTAGTAAAACCAACTGTACTTTTTACCACCTTACTTGTTTGCACTTTTCCCAAAAATTTGGTTTCAATTGGTCAATGTATGGCTATTTTAGAGGGTGTGACAGACAGATTTACAGAAGTCACTAAATTTTACATACAGATTTTTCAAGCTAGATTAAGCTCTTTTTTATATTAATATTCACTAGAAATACTTGTGAAAATTTTGCAGTTTTTCCATTTGAGTTTTCCCATAAGATTGAATAAGCTCTTTGAGAGTTGCACAACTATAAATTATCCATAGAAATTCCTCAAGTGCATCATTAAATATCCAGGCTTAACAAAATATTACAATAAAAATTATAAATATGAATACAGGTCTTTATTTAAAGAAAATGGTACAAATTGAAAAAAGATTAAAAACTTACAAGGTTTGCCATTTCATTGAAGCAGGCATTAAATATATGTGTTATCATCTCTTTCTTGCTTTCTCAAACTTATTTTCTCTTTTTCATTCCAAAATTTACTTTCTTAACCTTTCTTTCTCAAACTGTTCTTGTTTTCTTTCTAAAAATTATTTTCTTAACTTTCTGTTGCAGCATACCTACAGACGATAATGGGTATGTTCCCATTCACATAAATACAGTAGTAAATACTGTATATTAGTCTTCAGTCGAAGATTTGTCTCCAGCTGTGCTGGTAAAACTCTCTGTCTCCTGGCAGAGAGGATCTCCAAACAAGGCTATGTTGAAGGTGGGCAGAGTCTTGTCCGGAGAAACAGCTACCCAACCCCGTTTTATATGGGATCTATGGGGAATTTTTGGCCGAGCCTATGGGCTCAGATACCCCACATTAAATTTGGCCTTGTGCCAGATCTGACCGCCTGCCTCGGTTGGTAGATATCCTGCAGTTGGAGATTCTTCTCCAGCTGTGCTGGTCAAACTCTCTGTCACCAGGCAGAGAGGATCCCTAGATGAGGCTATGTTGAAGAGCAGAGTCTCATCTCGGGAAACAGTTACCCAACCCTGCTTTATACAGGTTCTATGGGGAATTTTTGGCCAAGCCTACAGGCTCAGATACCCCGTATTAAATTCAGCCTTGTGCCACATATGACTGCATGGAGTAGTTGGTTGATATCCTGCAGTTGGAGATTCATTGTGGAATTCACTTGACTCACTTCTAGCAGTTGATTACTTCTTCTGCACACCGCTGGAGACTCTTATATGTGTTGTGTGTGTCCTAAGTATTATTGTTCATTACCAACCCTCATGTGATTATTCTATTCAGTAACCTTCCCTAGGATACAACACTTTCAATTCTGAATCAGTTGATAGGTCTCCTGCTAGAAAAGTTGATTTGCTGTGTCATGCCAGGCAATTTTTCTTGCCAGAATCTATCTTACACATTTATGTCTACCATTCATCCATGCACTGAATATTGCTACCACATATAGCCTGGTGCTCCTTCTATATATTTAGAGATTCTTGGTAAAATACAAAGAAGAATTTGCAATGCTATCAATCCTGACCTGGCATCTTGGCTTCAATCACTTTCCCACTACTGTATTGTTGCTTTCCTGTGTCTTTTCTATAAATACTTTCATGGTAATTGCTCTGATGAACTTTCCTCTTTGGTACCAAGACTTTATAAATTTAAGAGCAGTACTAGATTGGCAGCAAAGTCTCATAATTTTACAGATGAAGTGGCTAGATGTAACCATAAGTTTTATGCTAACAGTTTCTTCTCTTGCACTTCTCACTTGTGGAACTCTCTTCCAGCTTCTTGCATTCCAGTCAACTTAAATGTAATGTTAATCATTATCTTCTGTCTTCTTAATTCCTGTTCTTTTGTTGATATCTATCCTTAATAATGCTTATCATATTCTTTTCACACCCTTGTTTCTTAGTGGCTTTATTGCCTTGCTTGAAATGATTAAAAAATGACAAAAAAATTTTTTTTGTTTTCCTTCCCTTAAAACCAAACAGCATTTTTGATATATTTTTTCCATCTATCCTCGCAATTAAAAAGGAATGGCATATTGTTTGCCTGTTATAGATTGCCTCTCCCCTACTCACAAATTCTTGGTATAGCAGCAGCTGATAGAGTAAATCAAACAGGAATGGCCCATTGTTTATCTGTTGTAATGGCCGAGTGTAACATACATGCTAAGTAACAAACAGAATTATATGATTATTTCATAAATATGAAAAAGAACTAGAAGTAGTCGTTTGAATTGTACCAGAGATAATTGATAATAATATAATACAAAAAAAAAATTTGTGATTAGAAATTTCAAAAAAATTTTCATTTTTGTTTTCAAATTTTTTAAAATTACATCTTTTGCTTTGGCTTAAGGGGATCAATTTAAAATAAAAAAAATTTCAAATATTAATTTATTATTTTTAAAGAGTTTAAAAAATATTAATTTAAAAAATTTTAATGATATAAATTTAATTTAAATTATATAAATTTAATATTTTAAATTTAAAAAAATTCCTTTTTAATTTTTTTGAATTTAAAATTTTTTTTTTAAAAAAAAGGCACATGGCATGAACATCTTTGGCTTTAGCTTAAGGGGATCAATTTATAATGAATTTCCATAGAAATCTGGATCCCCCTCTTAACTTCTATAATATATAATTAAACAAAATTATAGATATTTGAGGGTTGGTTGGTTGATTCCTTGATTTGTTTTTTACATGTTATCAACCCTTTGCCAGAAAATATTTTTAGATTGTAAGGATATTTTATAGATAATAATTTTCTTTGTTTAGAGATAATAATGTTTTAGTGATATACATCTTACTAATTAACCCATAGGTGGAGGGAGAAGAGATGGATTCATACCTTCCCAAGTGTATTTGCACATAAGTGAACATAACAAACCCAACTGGAATTGTAACTCAGTGCTCCAATTAACAATTCTGAGCCATTACACCATCCAGGCTTACAGTACCTGGTATTCCCAAGTGGCCACCTATCTAGCTACTTACCAGGTTCAACATTGCTTAACTTTAGTGATTGTAGGGGAACCAGTGTTTCAACATGATGTGGCCGTAAGCCTTGAGATTTGGAGTGCTTAATCTTATATGAGTAAAAATATAGGGGAAAAAAAATTAAACTTTTCAGCCAAATTGGAACCATTTTTGCCTGGTCACCAAAGAAATAATTGGTTTGTCATTATTCTGATGGAATATTATGGCCATTCTCTTAACTAATTCCAGATGAAACACTTTTCATTTATTGCTGTTTCCAGTTTGCCATCTTAGGTGCATTACTTACTTGAATCAATCCTATACCTCTCTGGAATGAGCTTATTGTAGAGAACCATCTTTCAAACACATAATCTTACCCACTTTAGATGAAGACGGTTCATTTCTCTTGGCACATCATCTCCTGTATCCCATTATTCATTGTGTATGACAATTTGTTTAAAAAACAAAGGAATGTTTAAATATGATCCAATAAGGGATATTTTGTTTAATTTGTTAAGCAAAATTTGTTTTAATTTAAGGTCAGGTCAGGCCCAGGCCTGCTACTGATAACATGTAACCCAGTACAAACTGCCACATGGACTCATGGTCAGCATCTAAACCAGCTACCCCAATAGCTTTTCTGCCAGTAAAGAGTGCCATATCACCCCACAGGATGAAAAACAAAACCTGTCAAGGGGTGGGTGGGATGAGCTTTATAGGAGCTAAGGGCACACACACACACACACACACACACACACACACACACACACACACACACATATATATATATATATATATATATATATTCAACTCTCCTGTTGAGTTTGACATATGAGGGTCAAGCTGATCAGTTCCTAGGTAACTGACAGCCCGACAACAGCACATGAGATTTAATTATAGTGGTGAAGGTTTCGTGCAGGACCATCCACACTTTTTGAAGGTCTGAATACAGAGACTTGGTGCACTATATATATATATATATATATATATATATATATATATATGTGTGTGTATGTATCTAATAGCTGGCCACTCATATTCGAGGATACCCATCTACTAGGATGGCTAGCCAATCCCTATTGCAGACGCTCGCTCAGGCACATTTGTGTTTGCTCAACACCCACAGAGCCCACCTGTGGTTTATACTCCAACTATGATAAACAGACCTTTGTTATAGTTTCTAGGAGAGAGTGTGTTATTTAGCGTGATCAACCATTTGAACAAGGCCAGTACACTCAAGTCCTCAGCCACAATGACTAGTTACTTTGTGCTAGCACAACTATCGACGACCCATATGAGTTCCATCTACCCAATTTCACTCACAAGGCTTAAGTCAACTCATGGTATGGTTTTCAGGCACTTCCCAAAGGTGCTGCATGCTGGGATCGACCTCAATCCAGTTCAATAACATCAGGAAGTCGCCTTCCTGACAAATTGACCATGGTGAGATTCGAACATGGGGCTCATGGTCAGAAAGCAAACGTTCTAACTATCATGCCACATGCCCATATATATATATATATATATATATATATATATATATATAGGATTAATGTGAGTAAGTCTGTCACTTAGCTGATTGATGTTACCTTCAGCATCCCAACTCCAGTTTCATAGACGGGCTTGTTTGACTATGTTTTAGAGGGTATCAGCAATTTATATATCTATATATATGGTTAGGATGAGGTCTCAAGGCTTCCTAGAGATGGTGCCTCAATAAAAAAACACTTGGTGTACTTGGTCTGCCGTGAGTGTCTGTGTTGGCGTCAGGGAGAGCATCTGGCTTTGTAAAACCTTGCCTTAAATTATCATGACAAGAATCAGTACATTGAAAGGCATATATTGAGAAATAAGTTGAGATCTGTTAAGCAATTACCCACCTTGCTTTGTGAGACATTAACCTCGGTCCTGCCTGAACAAAAAAAAAACATGTCTATGATGATATATCTCAGCCACACGGTAGACAATAATGTATTTTATAAGCATAGGAAGACATTTCTTTTTCGTAAATACTAAGGTTCACCCAATACAAGGCTCAAGAGCCACTCGTGGTAGAGAGTTACTGAATGTAAGAGGAGGTAGGTGGATTTAGAATGTAGTGAAGACTATGGGGATAGATAACAATTGATCATTGACTTGAAGAGGTTAAGATTGTAGGGTTCAGGAAAGCATCCATGTGAGAGTCTGTTCCACAGAGTAGCAGTTCTTCGGTGCGGGGAGCTGTCTATGAATGGAGCATGGAGGAAACATGAGTGATTCAACTCCATGAATGTAGAATGTCAAGTTCTAATAGTAAAGGTCTGAACTAGTTGAGCTAAGAGAGTGGAGCCCATCTATACAGTTGCCATGGAGATGGTGATGGAGTAGCGAGAGTCTAGCAACATTGCATCTATGTGAAAGAAGAAGCAGTAGTGGGAAGTAAGTCACCCCCTAAAAGACCATGTAAACAATTTTGAACTCTGTCAAGGTTGTAAAGAGGGGATTTAAAGTTCCAGACCAGCCAGACATAGCAACAATAGTCCAATTTTTGGTCTAATCTAACTCTTGCAAGTATAAATCATGGCAGGAGGAGTCAGGTACTTCTGGAATGGTGCAGTCACAAAATCACAAACCAACACCTTAATTCACTCAGCTATTGTCCCATGACACAGTAATTGTGAGTTCAATCCCTGGACCAGGCAGGTTGTAAATGATCAAAGCAACCAATAATTGAGCAGTGCTAAATAACATTGATTTGTTTTTTTTATACCTTATCAACCTTTATTTTGTGACGGAGAAGAGAGTTTGGGAAACACACACACACACACACACACTCACATATATTTCCTTTTTATTGAAATTGGAGTGAATCTGAGTAGCAAAATTAGATCAGAGCAATTTTGTTTACTGATGGGAAATCTGATCAAGCCCATTTGGAATTGGGTCATTAGAAAGACAGTGGAAAATGGTTGAAATAATTTTTATCAGTTAAAATTTGAAATAGAGCTTACTAAGCTATGAGGAACTTTGAAATTCACATGATTTTAGGTTGAAAAGAGCACCCCGTGATGATCATGTGCGGGCCAAGGGGCGATTATGACCAGCCAGATTTATCTATATAAACACGTAGTTATGCTGAAAAAGTGACAGATGGAAGAGCCAGACAGGGGAAGCCACGATCGGTCGGCATGTCGTCGCTGCATGCTGTTTTGTGCATATGCACCCTCAGGTGGCCATTATTGGTCGCGGTGCTACAGAAATTTTTTCGAGAGAGTGGTTGGCTCATCTGCCATCGAGTGCAGTCGAGCTGAGTGGAGAGAGGTCGGAGATTGAAAGTGACATCAGAGATTGGAACCAAACGCCCGCTAACATATTTTGTTGATCTAAGTACGAAGAAGTGAATTACTCCTCCAACATCTAAGACTGCTACTGCTACTATTATTACTATCACTGGAAATGGAAACGTTGCACAAGCTACAGTAATCAAATTTCTTTAAAAACCTAAAAAAAATTTAGCTTATTATATAAAATTATATTTTAAAATTCAAATTTTCAATTATTTTTAAGTAGAAAAAAAAAAAAAAAATTCCATATAATTATAATATCCAGAAATTGATTTGTTGATTAAATCTGACAGAATGATTTATTTTTATGTCATATATGACATAAACAAAAATAAATCTTTTCAATAACCAAGACTTAAAAAAGTAAACATCCTTTTTATGAAACTTAAATTTGTTTCTACGAAATTTATGTATTTCTTAAAATTTTATAGCTTTCAAAATGAGTATCCAAGAGACAGTAGAGCAATTTAATATTTCTCATAGTAAAATTCATGTTCTTATAAAAGATAATGCCTTCTAATATAGCAGCAGCAGCTGTACAAGCCCAATATTAGTCATTACTTTGTTTTCTACACACGTTGCAGTTGACCATTAATGATGCCATTTTTGCACATAGGTATGTAAAGAATATGCTTTCTATTTGTAAACAAATAGCTGGGAACTACAATCACTCACCTGCAGCTTTTGCAAATACCAGAAAAAACTTAATTTACCAGATCATAAATTTATTCAGGATGTCCAGACAAGATGGAAAAGTCAGTATTATATGAAGTCCAGAGTATTTAAACAAAAAAAATGTTCTTATCTCATATTGCAGTGATCATGCAAAATCACATTGTTTAGAATCCAACCAGTGGATGATTTTTAGAGAAATTACTGAAAATACTTAATTCATTGATTGTACAAATTTATTAAGAAATAGAGAAGCAATTGCTTTTTATATTATACCACACATTAAAGTCATTTGTCACTTTTTTAAATGGGGAGAAGAAAAGGGACTATTTAATGGGTTAGGTTCAACCCTTTCAGCATGGAAAGCTTCTTTTAATGCAAGATTTAGTAATTACATAAGAAGACAAAAACCTTATTCTAGCAACATATCTTGATCCCAGGTTCAAGACTGATTTCCTAACTACAAGGCTATTGCAGAATGGTTCATTCAAGATATCTATTCTATAACTGAAGGAAAAACAGACACCTCGCCCAAAGTATCACAAAGCATGGAGAATGACTTGTCTGCCATGTCTGAAGAGAAAAGCGATAATGATAGTGACTTTAATTTCAGTTTTACAAAGTGCCTCACTGAATTAAAGAAATAAAGTAATAAAGGAAAAGAGGAGCCAATGTGTACAAGAATACAGGATAAAGCAGTGAGTGAAACGAGCAAAGAAATATATTTATTAAAACTTGAAATGGCAAAATATATTGCATTAAAAATATAAAGTGATGATAATGTTTTTCATTGGTGGAATTCAAATAAAAATGAATTTCCCATCATGGAGCCTTTTAGCCAGGAAATATCTATCAGCACCTCCCTCTTCTGCTGAAAGTGAATGGTTATTTAGTATTGGCGGTAACATTTACTTACCAAAAAGAAATCGACTGAAAGGTGAAACAGGAAATGATAATGTTCTTACATTATAATTTAAGAATTTTAGGACTTAAATATGAGTAGCTAGGTACTTAAATGATTTACTTAAAGAAATTGTTCACTTTATTGTTTAAACTATTTGTGACACTATTTGGCTTGCTAAAAAGAAAG